TAAACTCAACGTCTTTCACTGGCACCTCACCGATGATCAGTCTTTCCCTTTTGCCAGCAAAACATTCCCAGAGCTTTCGAGACAGGTGAGCGGATTAAAGTTGATGGAATAATGGAAAGGTATTCGGGTCAACAATGTGGAGTTGTGAATGTAACAATTGTCGAAAAAGCATTTTAGTGCTGTGTAGTGCTGATAGTTTAGGATCACTGAACTTTCTTTTCCAAGTTAAGGTGAGATAATGACATCTCGTTGCATGCAATGCTGCAATCTTGGAGCTCTTTGGAGATGCTTGATGAATTTCACTCAATTTTTGAGGTTCACGCTCGGGTCGTAGGACGTAGGAAAGGAATGGCACAACAGACATGTGGCATTGTGTTCTTGAAATGTCCGTGATACAAGGACAATTGTGGGCTTTCTTGTTTCATGGACGCTGCTCCCACGTACCCACTGCTGTCGTCACCTTCTCATCTCCACTGGCGGTGCGATGAGGCAGTGGTATACACTTGCGCACTTTCATTCCTTCCTACTTCCACTTCCACGACGAGACTAACAACCGATTGTAATTATTTAGAATATGTAAATAATTGCTTTGGCAGTTAATTAAGCAAAATCATGAGGTTGGTTATTTTTAACTCGCAAGCTTGACTGCGAAAAAAAAAAACAAAAATTGTCTGATTGGATTGCTTCTTGATCTTGCCCTCAGCTTTTGCGTTTCTTATTTAATGTAACTGTGAAAATTAAATGCTTGCCATCGGGCAGCTTCCAACGTGTTCAGTTGATGTTTGTTAGTTTTGAACACTAACTTGGGAAATTTTCAGCCTTCCATTCTTTGTGGGGTTGATGGCGGTGGTGCGGCGCCTGTAGGTTGTTGGTAGTTCGTGGAGCTTTCTGTTTACTCTACCCGTACCTCCGTTCCATTGAACTCACAAATTCGGCACGGCGTGCATAGCAGACACTTCGTAGTTTATTGTTTTGACTATTTTGGCTCGCGTGTTCTCGTTGAAATTCGAATGTGAAGGCATTTGAAGCGTCAAAGCGTGATGGATTTTTGCGCCCCGGTAGCATGGTTTGGTAAAACCACCAAAAACACTGCACTAAGTCTTGTGAACAATTTAACATCAATAACGCCTGAAAAGTTGGACTCACATTGCAAGCTTTGTAGGTAAAGGCACTTTGAGGCAAAGGGCTAGTGGGTGTTTGCGGTTATTACGCACATTACTCCCATCTGAATGTAACGGCTCGTTGGTTCAGAGCTTTTTCGCCTTTCTGACTGCCTGGCTAAGTGAATCGTATTCATCATTCACGCCTTTATTTATCTAATTTTCTACCTTATTTTCAATCACAGCCTCGGACGGTGCTGACAGTCTGCTGAGATATGTATGGTTGGAGGTTTTTATTGGCAGGAAAACATCAAACAAGCCGCTATCGGGTGTCGAATTTTAGGCATTCCTTTGTGTTCAAAATGTGAGTGATCGGCAAGGTTTCACTCGTGTAATCATTGCCATCGCCTCTATTCTGGATTGTTTTTCGAACGTTAGCATGCTTTCATAAGTCGTTTGACTGTGTAATTGGTTCGAAGCCCGAATTAGGGGAGAATATTAGTTTAGTTGTTAAACCAAATCAGAAGTAATCCTATTTTTGTTTCTATTGCGTAGGCAGCCTACAATTCAAGGATGATCTACACTCATGAGGACGTTCGAGAAATCGTTGAGTTTGCACGGGTTCGCGGCATTCGTGTTATTCCTGAATTTGACATACCTGGTCAGTCTTTGCCATCCTCCTCTTTTCATCCATTCATTCCGAAATCCTTGAATCAACCAATGATTCTAGGCTTCGAAATCTAAATCATCTCCCGAATTCTTTCATTGGACCTGCTTTGTAAATGGCCCTAAGTATAGCGGTAAAGATTGGCACAAACTCACCACTTTTTGCACCAAATAAGCATTAAAGAGCACCAAAATTCTGCATCAAAATCCGATTTGAAAAGTTGGTTCACTTGAGGTGTACGTTTTGCTCGGTTTATCACTTGAAATGCTGACCATCCATACTTCGTTTGGTCCATTCTGGTATTTGCTGAGGCATTTAGGAGCGGCCTGCCGGGATTTTTAGACCCACCTACACCATTTGTATGTGATCGTGGCTTCCGCGTATGCAGCATCTTTATGTGCGAATTCACCCATCAGCGCATTTCATGTTGCATCGTTTTCAGCGACAAAACGGCTGTCGCAATCCACGGTTTTTCCTTATTCTACTGTCACCTGTTTTTTTCGATCATCAAATGATGCAAGGCCATTTCCTACATCAAAGTTATTGCCTTAGACTGGACCAATCTGAGTGTGGCACGACTTTTTGCTATTTATTGCATTCGAATGATAGAGCGCACGCCCTTTGTGTTTGCGACGCCCATCTCATGTGGAGGAGCTGGGACCTTAAGTACTCGAACGTGCTGACTGTTGAGTTAGGATTTAAACTAGACATTTGGGATGTCTTCGCGACCAGAGGTCACCCTGGAAACCCTCATTCTTGGTACTGTCGTCAAAGCGCACAAGTTCTGTCATGACACCTTCTTCCTCTGTTGCTAAATGTTTGGCTGTGCGTCGGAGTGCATTTGATGAAATTGAGGTAGTTTTTTAAATGAGCCCTGGTTTACCTGCTGCAATTAGGAGCGTGGGAGACAAATTGAAGGCCTTGACGAACCTAGAAAATAGGTTTGCAAAATTTTTTCCCTTACTCTTTTCTCTACGGAAATCGTGCATTTGAAAGAAGGAGTTACTAATTTTTTAATGCTTAGTATTAGGAAATATACTAAAATTTGTCGTACTGTTTTCGCGGACTCTCCTTTTTCGATTCTTCTTATCTTTTCATAGTAGACTCCTTTGACTGTTGTAACAGTGGCAGCGGTGTCTGTCCTTATTTGAGTAGTATTTGTCCTATTTTGGGCTTGAGTGTAGGCCGTGATTGTTGGAAAACCTAATGTAGACCAAAACAGTGACACAAGGCGTGAGTAATCGTGTTCAGATTGCATAAAGTGTTCCAATCTGGGGCGCGAAAGTCCACATAACTTGTGTATTAAACTTAACAAAGTCGGAGGAATCAGTGTTATTTTGTATGCTGGGAAGGTACAAACCTCTCTCCATGTCCATTCAATTACAATCACGACCGACAAGCACCTAGAACGGTGGTTTAGTTTAGCTCTCATTCCAACCACTTATTCACATCACCTTTGCGGAATTTAACGGCTCTTAGTGACTTCGAATCAATGGAAACTCCGAAGTTTTTAATCTCTGAAATTTCAAAAGTGCACCGCTGAAAAATGTTGTCACACCTTTCCCTTTCCTACCTCTCACTAGGTCATACCAGATCGTGGTCGCTCTCGCACCCGGAGATCTTTGCAAAGTGTTACGACGCAGAGCACGAGTCACCCTTCTACGGAGGTCTTGATCCGACTAAAAATGAGACTCTGGAATTTCTCGGAGCCCTCTTTGAGGAAATCTTAGAACTCTTTCCTGACAACACTCTCCATATGGGTTTCGATGAGGTCGAGTTTAACTGCTGGTTAGTGTGTGTAAATAAATTTTTTTTCTCCAGGCAACAAAGTTCTTGTGCAATTGATTGTTCTTGTAGGTCATCCAATCCTGGTATAAAGAAATTTATGCTGAATAATGGAATAGAGTCTCCAATAGACATTCTTAAAATATTTACCGTGAGGTATGTCATCCAGTCACGATTTTATTATTCTTTTAGAAATTCATTTTACCCATTGAAACAATGGCTTTTCCAATCGGTTTTTAGACTTTTGAATAAAATCCAAGAGGCGGCTAAACGTGTGTCAATGACAGGCCAGAGAAGGTTCATCTTTTGGCAGGAGGCATTCGATAATGGTCTCAAGGTATGCTTCAGCCTCTTTTGCAGAAAATACACAGTGATTTTAGGAGACTCCAGTAGAAAGGTGTTGATTTGTATACAGGTGCCAAATAATTCGCTAATTCATCTGTGGAAAGGTTTGAGCTCCATGCCTGGCTACTTCGGATTTCAAGTTATTGTTTCCAAGGGCTGGTATCTCGATTCGTACCTCAAGCCTTCCGAATGGGTTGGATATTATGAGAATGAGATCTACTCGCGTAAGTTCATTCCAAGGTGCCTATAGGTCCACGGGTTATAAAACACACCGACAACTGCTCTAAACTAAGGCTTCTATGCACGAGCTCCATTATCCCATAGAGGCTTTTAAGCAGACAAGTCATAAATGAACACTTTGGACAATACATATTTATCGGCTGACGTAATGAGAACGTAATGTGAGTGCCATGAACCTGACACTGTAGGTAGATGATTATGCCCTTGAGTTGTCCCTCAGCAGCTCCAGTATGTGCTCACACACGTAGAGCACGCTCTCAATAGACTTGGTTCATTTGGGCAGGAACAGGCAAAGTTGCAACCTTGTAATGTTTGTAATTGTTTATTAATGCTAAACGTAGTTCGGAGAATACAGACATCCTAAACACATAAAACATAGATGAACCTTTTTATGCTATAAATGCGTCATCGTTTATGCAATAGCACGCTTATATCCTGATGTGTACTCCGATTTCGAACCAAAAAACGTGATCGGTGGAGAGGCTTGCATGTGGATCGAATGGCAGTCTGACGAAACCGTAATTCAACGAATATGGTATGTCTGCTGATTTTTACTTAAATGTTATAAGTAAAAATAATTTACACAAAATCATGAAC